TAGACATTTTCAAGATACCAAAAACAAAAACCCAAAGCAGACTCACTGCCATCCGATCAATTGCGACTCATAATGACCCCTCGTTGGGTTTCCGAGGTGGTATCACTATGGAAGTAGATTGCCCAACCTTCCTTCCAAGGCTGGTGGGTTTGAACTGCCAGCCTTCTGGTCAGCAGTCAAATGCCCTTGGCGCTATGCCACCAGAGCTCTCAATATATTTCATTTTTATTTTTATAAACAAAGATCAATTTAACATTTATTTATATAAATTTCAGCTTGTGGGATTACTGGGTCAGAGCATAAGGATATCATTAGAATGTACACTCAAAAAAAAAAAAAAAAGGAAAAGAAAAAACTAAACTCACTGCCATTGAGTTGATTTCAACTCATAGCAACCCTCATTGTATCTTCAAGAGTGTAAATCATTATGGAAGCAGACTGTCCCATCTTCTTTCCCACAGAGCAGCTTGTGGGTTTGAGCCACCAGCTTTTTGGTTAGCAGACAAATACCTTATCCACTATATCACCAGAGCTCCTTGGGGTATATGCTACTTATTCCAAATTGCATCCTTGAAAGGTTTTCTCTATTTACTCTACCAGCATCTATGCTTGGGTTTAGTGTTTTTCTGGCACCTTCCCTAGAGAGCTTATCTTCTACCATTTAAATGTTGTTGTTGTTATTATTTGCCATCGAGTTGGACTTGACTCATAGCGACCCCTCCTTGGGTTTCCGAGGCAGTATCACTATGGAAGTAGATTGCCCAACCTTCCTTCCAAGGAATGGCTGGTGGGTTTGAACCAGCAGCGTTCTGGTTAGCAGTCAAGTGCCTTAGCCACTATGCTACCAGAGTTCCTACCAATTAAATAGGATACTTTAAAAATAATGTAAATTAAATATAAAAAGCAGCAGCAAAATTTTTCTTCCTCTTTTTGGCTGTGGTATATAGAAATATGAACTTTTTTTTATCTCTTCTTCTTTACCGTCTAGAACAGCACTTGGTAGATAATGGGAAGACAACCTTTACGCATTAAATAAAGTTATGAAAATGAAAAGATTTGAATCTATTAAATTTAATCCTAGAACAAGAACAATGAGCACTTTGATGTGTAAATTATTATTTTTTATACCAAGGGCAGACAGAACCAGTGGTGAAACAATTGCTCTAGAAATATCCTGAACTACTGTTGACTGTCGTACACTTGCCTACATGCTAAGCCTTTCTCTCTGTGGATTTCAGGGTCTAAAACAGTGGCAGGTTGAAAATCTGGTAAAGAAAATGATTTTATCTTTTTTAAAATGATTTACTTTTAACATAAAACAATACTCTATCATATATATGAACATATTTTCAGGTGGTAAAATTTTTATATGTTGGGAGGAATAGAAGCCAAATTCAAAACAATAATGATATTAGAGTTAAGAAGGTGGAGAATGGGAGGAGGCTCAGGATTGGGGCTTAGCTTTACCCGCAAAGATTTGTTTTTATTTTGTAATGTTACATAACAAATAGAGCCAAAAGCTAAGTCTGCTGACTGAGACCAGGAGGCAAAGAAGTATTTTATATAGTATTTTCTGTCCACATATCGTTACCAAAATATATAGTAAAGCTAGAAACCTGACATGGAGCAAATGCCACGTGGGCAGGGAAGAAGTCTCCGCTTCACCCCAACTCCTTACCTCTCCACCTTGGATTTTCTCTCGGGCCAGGGGTCTTGCATATTCCTGGCTCAAACTGAAGCACAGGATTATTGTCTAGTTCTACCAGAGTATGAAAAATCAGAAAGGAATTGTGCCTACCTGGGTTCCTATCCAAAGCTGCTCACGTTGCCCTCTTTAGGAAAGAGTGTTACTGTGGGCTTCTTGGTTTCCAACTTGTTAGTCATAAGGGCAGCAGAGATAAGCTACGGTATAAATCGTCAGTTGATAATCAACGACCTCTAGTGCTCAGAAAGGGAGATCTGGTAGCGTAAGGCCTAAGGCATTTGACTGCTAACCAGAAGGCTGCCAGTTCAAACTCACCAGCCATGCCTCAGAAGGAAGATTGGGCAATTTACTGCCATAGAGATATTGCCTTTCACCCAAGGAGAGGTTGCTATGAGTCAGATTCAACTCAAGGGCAGTGAGTGATTGAATGAGTTCTCAGAAATAGATCCAGTTTAACAGCTTCCTGGACTCCTCCGAGGACTCTGGTGGTGTAATGGTTAAAGCATTCGACTGCAATATCAAAAGGTTGGCAGTTTGAACCCACCAACTACTCCATGGGAGAAAGATGAGGCAGTCTGTTTCCATAAAGATTTATGGAAGGCTTGAAAGCCCTATAGGGCAGTTCCACTCTGCCCTAAGTGATCACTGTTGTTGTTGTTACGTGTCTGAGTCGGAGCAGACTCACAGCGACCCCTCCTTGGATTTCCAAGGCGGCATCACTACGGAAGTAGATTGCCCAACCACTATGAGTTGGAATTCATTTGATGGCAATGATTTTGGCGGGGTTTTCTTCGACTCCTCTGACAGTGTTTATTCCACAGTACTTCTGCTTTCGTGTCATTCTTTTATTTAGTCTGATGGTGGTGGTTGCTGTTAGCTGCAGTGAGGTGGATTCTGTCTCATTCTGAGCCCCTGTTTGCAAAGGGGAGCTGTTCCGTACAATTTTCAAGGCTATGACCTTTCAGAAGCAGATTGCTTACTTGCCCTTACTAATCTGTAGTAAACAATTTCACATGTTTTCACCACATCAAAGATTCTGCTTCTAGACATGGCTAGTGTCTCTCTCTCTCTCTCTCTC